ACATTGATTCTGAATTGCAATATGTACACAACTCAAGCTAAGCTGGAGAGATCAGATCCTTATGTACTACTCAGCTACTCAGCACCTACTTTACTATCACAAAACTTGAGACGTCTCCAAACTAGGACCATTGAACTAGGATCCAGGCTACAACGCTCTTCGGCAACTGCCACCAAGCCAAAATCGAGTTACGAAGGCTGGATTGTGTGTAGCCCGTGTAGAAGTGAAGTTAGCCAGGTCAGCAACTGTTCTCACGACACACCCTCAGTTGCCTTGAACTTGTCCTGCCGTTGGAGCATACGACAACAGGTCTCCCTTACTATGAACCACTGCACGTGCAAGTCTCCATTTGGCGCCTGTCAGCAAATATTACTATAGAAGAATTACCGCAGACTCAGATTACGTGGCGGGAGTTAAGGCCTGGAAAAAAATTGGTGTAAGGCGTCGAGCAATTGGGGGAAACATATGCGAGAGGCACGCACCTAAAATGCTTCGCCAGACTTCCGAATGCAAAACCGAGGGAGTTGGTGAGGAAAGGCGTGGCCGGAGCGGCAGATGCCTGCAACAAAGTGCCATCGCGATGGGACGAGAGCGTCAGCAGTAAAGACATCAAACCGGCTGAAGGAGGAGGAGACAACACATGAATAAAACAAGTTCATCTGCAAACGCGCACGCGCGGGGGGGGGTGGGTTCCGTAAACTTACCTTGGGGGTTGCCAGCCGAGAGGACATACGAATAGACGGCCCAACTGCAAACGTCCTGCAGGCTTGACGGGTTCGATGATTTTAGACTACATGGAGGAAGATGTATTTCAGGGAGGAGTGGTTAATTCAAACCGAAAGAAATTATTTCGACTTAATGAGGGCATAAGCTAGGCGTGGGGCGTGGCTAACCTGAGCAGAGTTTCCACAACGTCCCTACTCTGTCTTCGCCGAAGAAGTCGTGAGAGCTCAGCGGTGGCGTCCAAGTTCGAGAGAATGGAACTTTGGAAGGTTGCAGGGGAAGCAAAACCTTGCTACAAGGAGAAAAGAGCTTTCCTACTGCAGGGAATCGAGTACAACTGTGGAAATGTTGACGGGGATAGGCGTGGTTACAGGTAATTTTAACTGCTACCTTGTAACAATCACTACGTGCACGCACCATTTACAGCTCAGATGCTTCATATCATGGGGCTCTCAATAGTGTACTGCCCCTCCTCTTTCCCGGTAAATCACGCCGCTGACATGGGCGCTTGCGGACCTGCTCAGATCTGACGGCCACACTTATAGACAGATGAACATTGTAGACAAAAACAAGGGAGACTGGAATGGCCATTTGTGACATATATGCCATAATTAGCCAGCCAGGTAGTATGACACCCACTGTATGACTGCTGGTGAGGCTCAAGGCTTAGCCCCGAGACAGGATGAGACAAGTGAATCCCGTAACCGATCGGTAAGATTTCCTCCACCAAGATCAAACGTATGTTCACTCATGAGTGACTGCCCCACTGCAATTCGCCGGGCCCGCAGGATCGTAGTAGACGTCACACTAAATTTTCATTGGTGGACCAACACGACGGTCACTCTAATGTGCAAAAGCAAGCGGTTACCGGGGTGATTGCTGCTTTCAACACAACGCCACGCAGCCATTGACGAGGAATGGCTGTCAAATACGTAGGAATATGGTGCTACTATCGGGGCGCCGAAGTGGCCACCCTCCACTAGAACCCTACTATTTGCATCTAGTACAGTTGTGATCAGGCCTGATCTATGCGCTCTCGATGATGACACACCCGAAGATCTGCGGCCGCATACCCGGAGAGAGTTTAACCTGCTATTTCTTTCAACGACGGAAGCCGAATACTGGGGAAACAGACTTGGAGTTGGCTTCCTCGTCGATGCCTTCAGCTGCGTAACAGCAACGGACTGAGGGCAGCAACACTGACTTCGTGAGAGAGAGACTACGACGTACTGCATCATTAGTGTCAGCACAATGATTAATGTGCGAAATGTCGATCAAATGTGAATGAGCAATAGTATTTAGCATACACATATGTCTATCATTTGGGGATCTGAATTCTCAATCGGTGCAGCGGCATATTTTTTGACACAGGCATCTCGAGTGATGTCCTCGAAAAAAAAACATCAAACCCCTTGTGCGACAAAATTAGCAAAGAATAACCTAAACACCCTTTCAAAATAGGTACTAGTTAAAAGTCAGAGCGCACATGGCGAAACGGCAGAGTTCGGCTCAATTATGGTTCCTTAGCGTTCCGTAAGCGATATAATTCCCTTCTAACATATCGAGCGAACATTAAGTGAATTCGCAGGGACAGAACTTGACAGATTTAAGATGGAATCATTCAATCCTAATGTTTACATTGGGATCAGTACCGAATCTTATAAGACAATTTTGTTAATTTCAACAGAACAAGGTAACATTTAAAGGAAAAAGTATATTAAAGATGGGTATCTGAAGTAGACTTACCATGTAATGGCGCGGCAGACCCCTTGTCTGGAAAAGAGCCTTTAGGTAGACCTGGTTGGGAATAGAAATGCGATTTCTAAGAGAGCCCAAATTAGGCTGGTCGTTTTCTTGTACATTGGGACGGGCCATTGCGAAGATAACGGGGAAAAGGTTCCGCACTGGGAGCTTTTGCGATGCTGAGGTAAATGAAAAAGAGACAGACATGAAGACTCACGTAAAATACTCGAGTCAAACTTGCAGAAGAACTACGCCCTGCAGAATGCTTAGCCCACACAACACATTGGAAAGCATCAACGCCTCCCACTGTCGATATGGAACCAAAAAACACACTTCGTGCCAGCGAAAAATAGGCGGCGCAGGATACAGGAAATCACGCCGTTTTCAAAAAAAAACAGCGAGTAAATTTCAAAAATTTTGATTTCTGAATTTGTGGTATTTTGCTGTAAAAAACAGTAATGAGTTTCGTTAGCGACCGTGAACGTTCATCAACGATTAATAAAGTTGTTAAACAGTAATGCGCTTTGCGAAAATGAAAAGTCCATGCTATAAACAAATATGCAAAGGAGTATTTGCGAGATGCTGTCATTTTTCTTTATTGCATCGCGCGATGAAGGCATCAGAACAATTTATATCTGCAGTCGACCACGAATGGATGTAGAATTTAGCAGCCGAAGGACTGCCGTTTGAGTGGCCGGTAAAAAAGTTTTAAGGTCAGCGAAGTTTTTGGCAAAAATTACATCTCAACTAATAACTAAGAATTTACGAGCCAGCTATGCGTTCTTTTGGGGAACGGTCATTTACTTCAGACAGTGTGTTACATGAATCTTGTGCGAATTTCCTGATACTCCAAGGGCTACTGTTGGAGTTGACATTTTATTGCAGTGGAGAAATAAACACTAAAAAGCGATTTACTTTGCCTGAAAGACCAAGGCGTCAGTACTCAGACCGACAGCTAGATGGATTCTACCTTGGTTGCCATTAATAGGTTTAATGTGCGTGACTTATTTTCACAGCCGACCTTCGGCGAAGGCGATTGGATTAGCCGTCACAGGCGGACGTATCAGGTAGCCAGCAGCTAGGCTAGCGAGTAATCCGTCTGCCTGGGAGTCAGGTGATAAGGGGAGAGAACAAAAAAGCAAGGAGTAGCATTCAGACAAACAGACTAACCAGTTAGCTGGATGATATGGTTGAGGAGATCAAGGCGAGACTCTACGGGTTTTTCTGCCAAAGCCCGGAGAGTTGCGGGCAAGAGAGAAAACTGTGAAGAAGGAAGGTGGCGATCGGTTAGAAGCGGCAAAGGAGCGAAATATGCATAAAAGGAATATGTGACTAAAACGAACCTGGGAAGTAACTATGCCGGCCAAAATGTTTTCAGGCGCTTCTTGAATGCAACTCAGAGTCTCCTGAAATCAAACAGAAACAGACAATTCTTTATACTGACCAAACCATGAAACCGAATGGCAATGCTTAAGAGATGCTGTAGAAGACAATAACGGGTGTGTTAACATGGTAACGGGGCTCAAAGCTTCCGTCTGCAAACTTGTGTTTTCGACAGCTGCTGTGAAAATACAAAAAGAGAAAATGGCGTTCCCTGTAAAAGTCCTAGGACAACTGACGAAGTGGACGACTAGACCCGAAGCAGCTATCAAACGGTGGGTCGACGAAAAGCTCCTGGATAATTCAGCTATTCAATCAGTTACAGGCGCATATCACTCTATTAGCTGTCCGAAGCAAATAAGCTCTGTGCGGGTGGCAAAAACGTCTGAGTTGAAGTGAGTCAGGTTATGATAACAGCAGGAAGGGAGGACAGAGAATGCGGATAGAGTAATCAGCCAATCATAACTTTCATTCGCTAACTTTGATAGACAGGTGGGACTGGACATACAAACATGCGTTCGAATAAGGCTGCAAATGGTCCATCATTGGAGTCTACTAGATGGGCCATACGCGCTTAAGTCAAAATAAGTTAATCAGCGCCTCGCTACTTGCCATTCCCGTGCTGTAGATCGAGTATTCATTCAAACAGGAATGGGTGCAGACTGATGCATCGACTTCCCGAGGGCAAACAAGGGCCCTGTGGGTGGCAGAGGCGACGAACAGACAACCGACTACTAGGCTGAAGTCGGCCAAATTTCAAC